CTGCAGCCCCTGTGGCAGTGGGTTGCCATGGGCTACCATGTGTAGCCAGCAGCCAGCGTGAGCGGCCAGCAGCCGCAGTGAGCAGCCGTCCAGAAGCCAGCGACTGATCTGCCTTACCCGGGAAGAGCGCACTGATGGTGCCAACTTGGGCCAGTGAAGCAACGTCCTCCACAACTAGACTAAAGAAGAAAACGACAGCAACTTGTCTGTTCCCCTTCTCCAATTCCCCAGCGCTGTTCCCATACCCCCAATTCCCCAATTAAAAAAATTAAAAAAAACAAAAACACTTGGTTGTTGCCATTCTGCCTTCCAATACCAGTCTGTCTGGGGAGAGTAGCCCAGGCTTTCAGCACCTCAGATCGTCTTCTGGGCAGGACTCCCCTCGGACTTCACACTCTGAAGTTTCTGAGGGGTTGTCAGTTAGAACCTGCACTCTTGGTCATGAAGTTAGTCAATAGGACTATTCTCTGGGTGATGGAGTCCAGGTTCCTTTTAGTGAGGAATGATATTAAAGATCAAAATCTGGGTGCTAGGTGTACACATTGCTACTTGTGGGAGGGGGAACCGAGGAGGGGGTGTTGTTTCTTGGCCTCCTCAGCAGACAAGCCAGGGTGTGTATGTGGAGAAATACATACACACACACACACACACACATATACACAACATGCATATGTACATACCAAAACGTGCACATACATGTAGTATACGTACATGTACATATACATGTTCACATACACATACATATGCAGTATATAGTTCAGAAATCATGAACTCACACCAATGCTTATAATTCCAGTCCTTAATACTCCTAGAGTTATTGCTTGCTTTCCCCCGTTCCTTACTCGTATGTCCTTTCTTCCACTGTGAGAACTCTGGCTCCTAACATATATATTCATTCATCTAAAATAGTTTCAGAATTACTTCACCTATAACCACTTTAATAAGTATGCATAATAGACCAGATTTATTTGTAGTTTTCGCCCTACTCCTATCCCATCCAAGGCTAGAAATATATAGTCAATCACTATATTTATAAATTACTTGGGTTATTTTCCTTCTTTCTCT